GCTCAGGCGAGAAAAGGGCGTTATCTCGGTGGTGTTTGAGGTTGTCGTTGGGACGATGGATAGCAACCGGCTACGAGGAAAAGGCCAGGCAAAACCTGCCCCATCGGTCCACACCATACCCGTTCCCGAGTCCGTGCTCTTCATCGACGAGAAGGGAGGCATGGCAGACGCCTTTGAGGGGGAGGAGGATTACGGACCAGAAGGCTATGCACAAGACTACGCGCCATTTCCTCCCGATCCGGCGCAGCAATATCCCTTGTGGAACCCTAGCTCGTCGTCACACTACCAAATATCAGCCCCGGAATACATCCCATCTCCCGACGTTCCAGATGAGGCTGTCCTCAGTGAGAAGGACCGCATTAGGCGTGCTGAGCAACAGCTGCTCCCTAGCCAGCCGTCAGGCCCATCAAGCAGCGCTCTCGGCCCCATCCCCCCGCCGCTACCAGCCACGCTGGATGAAAACATTTACGACGCCGACGACGACCGACCGGCCGCCGTGTCCACATACCACGATGCCGGTACAACACCGCAACCCACAGTCGATCAAGAACCCTCGGCACCAACACTGGAGGAGTTATCCACAGGAGCGGGTGGGGCGGCAATAGAGGACAAGCAGGAGCTAGAACGCCGGCGGCTGCTTGTTGAGGCAAGCGCACCGCCGGACTTCCCTGACGACTATGACAACGGCGGTCCAAGCTCGGCGGGTGCTACGCCGACAGTGCCAAGCGGCAGTCTCCCGCCTGGGACGTTTGAGCCGTCTGCGCCAGCTTTGATCGATGACGAGGAGGAGGACTATGGCATGCACTATTCGTACTCTTTGCCTGCTGCTGGACCGCCATCGTCGTCCACCGGGCCTGTAGCCCCTGTCGGTGGTGATGATCCCGAGCCATTGCCGAGGTATGAAAGGTGAGGACCAGGAGATGGGAGAGGAAATGTCGGTCGTTGGTGTAATGTAGTCGTGGCACAAGTCGGTGCACAGGCCAGCGTGGAGGGTTGGTGGGAGTGAGAAGAAGGAAAGGAGGCTCTTTTATGTTCACATCTTGCAAGCAGGCGTATGGGATGGGCAGGCAGGCAGGCAGGCAGGCAGGCAGGCAGGCAGGCAGGCAGGCAGGCAGGCAGCATGGATGGATAGATGACGTATTCTTGTATTTAGTTTTATATATCATGACGATTTCCTGTTGGATGCCAAAACTGTTGGATACCATCTGACTCCGTACATACACACCACCAGGTACTTGACATTTCTGTTGCTGAAATTGTGTATAGAGTCTGGGATGAATGGATTGTCTCTGTTTGTCCGGGTATTGACAGATTTTGCGCAACTATGGGTTAGTTCTACGGCTTGGATCATCACCAAGCCAACACACGACGCATGCCCCCCTTTTCCCCGCCAGCGATGGGGTTGAACCCTAACCCTGGGAGTGTTGACATAATCCGTCAACCACGCTGGACGGTTCACTGTTCAGTCCCCAGCAATGGAACTCGACGGAGAGGAGAGAAAGCGACGAGATGGTCTGCCTGCGGTCCGGGTCTTGTGGTTTGCCGAGGGGGCTGGCTGGCGGCGCAGCACTGCCCCGCCTGGGCGGCCAGTCAAGAAGCGGGTAGCAAGCCCCGAGAACTTGCGTCTGCTGTGGGACTTGGACAGTAGACTCTGGAGGAGGTTTTTTGTTCTTTTTTTTTTTCTTTTTTTCCCTTGCGCCGTTGGCGGTATGGTGCGGTATCTTTTGCTTAGGGGTCTCTAGCGATTGCGGATCACGATCAATGGCAAGCTGAGTACGCCACCTACCAGTTTTCCGTGACCGGGCGGTAACCTACCGAGATGTGAAGTTCCAGTCCACAGTAATTAGCGTAGTGTATGGGCTGGGGTGGGTGAGCTCTTTGAGATAGGTGGAGGTCTTGATATTTGCGAGTATAATAATTGGTGTGTTGTGATGACGAGGCCTTTGTGTTGGACTGGCGAGGACTGGCTCTTTTTTCTGGCGTTCTGGTGGAAAGAGTGGTGATGCAGCAGCCGCCACCACCTCCACCACATGTCTCAGTTTCCCGCACACGTCAAACTGCGGGACTGGCTAGGCTGGCTGGCTGTCATTTGCTCGATGCTGTGCGTCAGTGCTGGCTATAGCTAGCTTGGGAGCTATGGTTGGTAGGTAAGTAAGGAAAGGAAAGGTATGTTCGTACAGCTTCACGGCTCGGGCGGTGTTGGATTGAGTCTAGAATCTGGATGATGGTGATTATGATATTGGTATTAATTATGAAGGGCTGATTGATATCTTTGGTTCTCAGCCGTTGCTTTGGAGTTCTTTCTTGTTCTGACATACATATCTTCAACATGCCCCTGTCCATCCCACGACGGCTGGGCGTTTTTCAGAGTATTATCATCAACCTCACGATCCTCTTGACTGCTCTGGCGGAAGCTATCGTTCTTCCCGACAATCTCACCGCAGCAGCAGCAGCTCATCTGCAGGTTGCCGTCAACAACGGAACCTCGAGCTGGAGGACAAGGGGAGACCCCGTCCCCGGAACCAAAGCCCTGCTCGGCCTTCACGAGCGCGCCCCGGCCGTGGGGAAGCGAGACTGCATTGCCAACGGAACTACCTTTTGCTTCGGAGACACTGTCAACTCGTGTCCGAGCTGTGGCACATGCTGCGTCGAGGGCATGTACTGCTGCCCCAGTGGAGGCGTCTGCTGCGGGCCTGGGAGCTGCTGTGCCAGTGGCCAGGTCTGCTCTCAGGGGAAGTGCGCACCTGCTGTGTAAGTGGTGCCAGATACCTACCTACACATGATGGTGGTCCTAAAGGTGGGAGTCTGCTGCAGTTCTGACTGACCATGCCCTCCCCTCCCCTCCCCAGGATGACTGTCACGGCTACCTCGACGGTGTACACGACAACGACGTATTTCGTCACACGGGTGGCGACCATTGTTGTGCTTGAGAACGACATATCCACCGTTATCTCCACAGTCGAAGTCACGATCTCGAGCGCTGCGGCCCAGATAGATGTCAGCTGGGTGGTTGTCACCGCGGCAACTGCCGCGAAGCGAACAGCCGCCATCGCCGTGCCGGAGGCGAAAGAGACGACAACATCGTCAGATGGTGGGCTCCCCTTGTGGATATACCCGCAGCTCTCTCATGTTGCGGCCGTGGCCACGGAGGCGGCCCATGTCACCCCCCACGCAGTTCCGGCCCGGAGACAGGCCAGTGGGAATCAAGAAGAACAACAAGAAGACTCTGGTGGGGGAGCGAGAGACACATCGACTGTTACCGAGTACATTACGCGGACGACCGGCACCCGGAGTGACATATGGACAACCGTTACGGTCTCCACCACCGCACATGTGATGACCACTGTCTACAGGACAGTTACTCGGTACGTGGGCGGGCGCTGTGTTTTGCCGAGATAGTTTATGCTTGTTTTGCTTCATTGACGCATTCATATTCTCACCTACCATCATACCACACCACATGCATTCGCAAATGTAACCCCTCCCACCCCCTTTTTCCCCCCCTTCTCGTCCCCTAATACTTACCAACCGAGCCCCTGAATACGTTTGTTTCTGTGCAAGTCCATCTGCCGAGGAAACCAGCTTCACGCAAACATGCTGATCCTCAACGACACTTACACGGTCCACAGGGTCATCGAAGCCCACGAGACCATCTCGACGACATTCACCCTGACGGTGGCCCGAAACCCGGCTGCGACGCACATCTACACCACCACTCCCGCCGAGCCAGACGCAAGCACAGCGCCCACCAGCCCAGCAACCCCCCTCTCTTCCCCCTTGTCTCTATCCTCCTCCTCCTCCTCCTCCTCCTCCTCCTTCTCCTCCCCCTCCTCCCCGGCACAAACAGACATCGCCCCGCTACCCGTCGCCGCCCACGGGCTCACCAGCACGCAGATAGCCGGCATCGCGATCGGGAGCACGTCAGCCATCATCCTAGTGCTCCTGGCCATCGTCTCGCTGCTCTCGTACCGGCGCCGCACCAGCAGCCCGCCGCCCTCGTCCCGCACCCCGCCAGGCGACCTGCACGGCCGCCGGCAGCCGACGGTGCCCAACATGCTCCCGCAGTTCAGCACGGCTGCGCCCGCGCACCACGCCTCGCAGTTCAACCCGGCGTCGTTCGCGCGGCACCAGCGCACCGGGTCCGGCTTCACCACGCTCGTCGGCTCGCCGAACTTGGGCTGCGGCGGCGGGGGCGGCGGCAAGGACGATAGTCGCCACTCGGTCGCTGAGGTGCAGGGGAACCAGCCGGCTGAGTGTTTCGAGGCCGACGCCGGGGAGGTCTTTGGCGCGGCTTCTGCGCGGCCGCGGTCGTCGTTCCGGGGGGCGCGGCCGCCGCCGCTGCCGGTTGGGTTGGGGATTGAGCAGGGGCAGGGACAGGGGCAGGGGCAGGGGCAGGCTTCTTAGGGGTCGTATAGGCGGGATGGGCACTGAGGAGATGTCTGGGAGTTGGAAGGTTTATTTGTTGTATAAGTTGTAGAGAGAGAGAGGAAGAGTCCAAAAACACCGTATAAAGCGTGCTTCGCATTTTACCTGTAAGGATTTTAACAATCACTACCTGACTTGGCCACATGAGATCATTCCCGGCTGTTGCTTGGACTCGCCAACCGACTATTCGACGGTGAGGTTTTTGTACAATGCACCAAGCCATGGATAATGTTCTGCCAGTCCAGATGCCTTGAGCGCAATCAGCATTCGAGTCTCGAGGTTTTTTGCTCTTTCACGTCTAGTTTAGACGAAAGGACGAAAAGAAGCCTCGACTAGGATAATAGTGGCTGCAGAAAACACACGTTGTTGTAATGTACGTACCGTGTAATTATCTGCTTGCCTAACCAACATAACCCTCCACCCTCCCCTCCCCACTTTGGCAGAGACACGAGTGGACCAAAACACCCAAACATGCGGGTATCAATTCACTAGGCTGCACCACGCGCACAAAACCCATAACCCCTAACTCGGCGCCAAATCTGCATCAACACCCAACCCGATCCACGGGTAAAAAAGGGATTATGGCTCAGCCGGTAGAGCGTTGGTCTCATATGTTGTTCATATGATCTGCTTAGACAGTAGAGTCATCCAAAGGTCCTGAGTTCGAGCCTCAGTAGTCCCATATACATCAGCTGTTTTACGATAGACTGATGTTTCTTTTTTCTTACTCCAAGCGAATTGTTGCTTGGTGCGTCCGACTCAATGCATCTGAAGCCTAAAACGATGGCGGTCGACCTTGCATGAAAATCATCGTTGGCATCCGCATACATTTTTGTTGGAGAAATCCTAGAACTGAGCCGCAGTGCTGGATTGGACCGGGTGTTAAAAAAACTGCCCTGATGTGCGTTGGAGACTGAAAAGGGGGTAACAGGGCTGGCTATACCACAGTAAACAACAAAGCGTCCAGCGGAGGACGGGGAGACTGCTTGGCAGGCAGGAGCGCTCCCGCGACGGGCAGCTGTTATCTTAGCGCCATCGGGCGAGATCACCCAGGGTGCCAGGACACTCAGGAACCCCACCATGCTCGGCTTACAAGGGGATGGATGGGTGGTGGTCCAGCGTGAGAACGCGCCGCCAGTTTCCATGCCACTCCAAGAAACACACCTCTTTCCTCACGCACAACATGGACATTGACGATATCCTGCGCGAGGTCGACCCGACATTCCACTCGGTACCCCGGGAAAAGCGCGATCTCCAAGATCTGACGCGCGCATGGGTGGCCGAGCGATCTGCGCCCGAGCTCCTCCCGTAAGTGCTGCTGCTGCTGCTGCTGCTGCTGCCTCTCCCTCGACGCGCGTGGCTCTACCACCACGCACCACCAGACAACACAAAACTACAAAACACCTGGCTGACGACAGACACGCACACCATCCAGCTGGCCGGCGGGGGGCTTGTTCGAACGCATCAATGACAACATCAAGCGACAGATCGAAAAGGTCGAGGAGATGACGGGCGACATGGACCCCAAGACCAACTTTGTGCTCATCGTCATCCAGACCGAGCTGGAGCGCTTCAAGTTCCTGGTGCGCAGCTACCTGCGCGCGCGCATCGCCAAGATCGACAGGCACACGCTGCACTACCTCTCGACCGACGACCTGCGCGCCCGCCTCTCCGAGATGGAGCTGGCCTACGCCACGCGCCACCAGGCCCTGCTGCACAACCACTACCTCTCGTCCTTCCTCTCGTCCTTCCCGCCCGCCCTGCAGAACCTGAACGACACGGCCGGCAACATCAGCATGATCGACGCCCCTGACCTCGACGCCGCCGTCTTCATCCGCCTCCTCGAGGATACCGTGGTCCAAGGCCGCGGCGTCGATGCCGACGGCGAGATGGACGGGAGGGAGAGCGACATCGTCATCCTGCGCTGGTCCGATGCGAAGCCGCTGGTCGAAGCTGGTCGCGCCGAGCTCGTTTGACCTCTTTGCCGGGCACCTACATCTTCAATAATGCTCTCATGGCATGTCCACGGAGGGCCCGGCCTAATTCCTGGCCCTCCACCACCACCACCACGACGGTCTGTATACAGTCGTCGTTACAGGGCTGTAATCACAGCAATGGACAGCACAGCTCATGCACAGATCTGGCACAGCTCATGGCACAGCTCATGGCACCAATGATAAATACCAGATGGCCAGCAGAGGCGGATCAAGCCCCTCGCCTCTCCAATCTACCCTCCGCTACCCCCTACCTCTCTGGGCCAGCCATGGAAACCCCAACCACCATCGCCCTCGTCACGGGCGCGAACCAAGGCATCGGCTACGAAATCGCCAAGAAGCTCGAGGAGGGCTTCGGGCGCGAGGTGCGGGACCGCTGCGTGCCGTACTCGGCTAGCAAGGCTGCGCTCAACTTCCTGGTGGCCGAGTATGCGCGACGCTATAGCGGGGACAGGACGTGGAAATTCAACGCCGCCTGTCCTGGCTGGTGCAGGACGCGGATCACCGGGTTCAGCGGGCTGGATAGTCCGGCCGCCGGCGCCGAGGTGCCCTGTCGGCTTGCTTGACTTGGGTAGGACGGGGAGTCGGGTACGTTTGTCAATAGGGCGGGGGGGATTCCTTGGTAGGTACCTAGGTAGGTTGGAGAGGGGGGAAGTTGGTTTATGGCGTCCTGTCGCTATCTACAGGTACCTCTACACTAGCTTTTGGTTAGGGCTTGGATCGGGTCGTAGGTCTTGATGCTCGTGTTAATCTAGCGGTTCGCTGTGCTGTGCTGTGATCGGCATTGATCGGGTATCTCTTTTGGGTATTTTGATGTCATGATGCCTTTGTGCTTGTGGCTGGGGCGTGGCAGCCGTGGTCCGTTCTTGTATCTGGTGCGTACTGTAGCACGCGCAAGGGTGGGGAGAGGCTGGCTTGCTGGAAACTCTGGCGGCGCTTGTTCACTTCATCTCGACATGCATCGCGGACGGACACTGCCTGCCTGCCTGTCTGCCCTGCAGATCCGAACTTCTTTTCCACCTTGCCGAATTGTGGGTAGGCCCTTTTTATTTTTTATTTTTTTGGTTGTTGTTTCACGGCTCATTTGTGGTGAATAGTGTACATTGATTTGATTTATTTTTCCCCAACGGGAAGTTCCCGTTTGCCTTCCGGACGCCTCATTTTCCCCTGGTGTGTTAATTGCTTGTGTCACACACAGGTAGGTACAGGTACAAGTAGCTGTGTCGGTTGGTTCTCGGTCTGGCTACAGTAGCTGGTTTAAGCTTTCAAAGATGGCATGTCGCTCCCGTGTGCAAGTCAATGGATGACGGGCACTAATTAAGTATAACGGCGGCACCTGCCAAGTGCCAACTTCATGTCGCAGGTATCAATTGTAGTTAGTGTACAGGTACCTTAGCTAATGTGTACGTGCTGCATATGATCTCCATAGGTACGTTAGCGACGAGGCGTCTGCACAGGACTCCCGTCTCGTCTTGATTGGCGCCCGGATTTCAGATCGGGGAAAGGAGAGGGTCGAAGCCAAGACAGCGAATCGCCCCAATACATTATTATCCTGGACAGACAAGACATTCAAGACCACTGAGGCGAGCCCAGTCCCCTGACAAGGAATGAATGACATGGAACTTGCCAGTACACTACCGACCTAACCTGGTGGGAGTATATGTGGGAGTGTGCACCTGTAATTTAAACACGCAGATGCATGGCTTGAGCCACCGCATTCTTGACGTCTCAGTGCAAAGACACATCAACGTAAACAAGGTTTTGTGCTGCACCGAGGTTATTTATTGTGCACACTTGACTTCCCTCCCCCGCCCCCAGCCAGCCAACCATCAGCATCATGACAGCGGCAGCCGAGCGAGCAAAAGCGTACCTACCTACCTACCCTGTGCATACGCACACACGCGCGCTCGTCCCATCTGTGAGTAGCTGCTGAGGAGTGACGCGGGGACTCAAGCAGACTGAAGAGTGTTAACACAGGGTATCACCAGCCTCGCAGATGCAGGGAAGAAGAAAAAGACATGACAAAGACGAAGAAAGAAAAGAAGAAGAAATTGCCCCGTCTTGCCAGCTGCCATATGGACATGGACACGCAAGCAAGCCCAATGTCAGAACTTAGAAGCCACCACCACCACACTGGCCGCCCCCGCCTCACCCAGCGACAAGCTGCAACAAGCCAGGGAGAGACAAGAGATGATGTTGGGTGGTCGCGAACAGGTCACGCGTCCGTGTGTTGCGCGGGCGCGGGCGCCATGTTAGTGCATGTCATGTAATGTCATGTCATTCAAGGCAAGGTACCTGACCTGACCTGACCTGACCTGAGTGTCATCGCAGCCACCCCCCTTAAACGGCCCGGGCTGGCTGGCTGGCTGGCGATGTCTATTATTTAGAACCCCCCCGATCGGCACACATGGTTTATTCCTGGCTCTTACCCCAGTGTCTCTACTCTCATTCCTCCCTACCTTTTATTTACCTCCCCTTCTGCCTTCGCATACCTACCTGCCCCAGGTACCTAGCTCCCTTTTCTTTTCTCACGGGTCTCCCTCGCTAGCTGCTTCTTACACACACTCGTTCCGCCGCCTCGCTCTCTAGACTAATAATTACCAAATATCTTCCTCTCGTTTATCATCATCAAATCAAGACGTTCACTTATTACAGCTCTCGTTTTCAGATTCCCCCAGTATATGCGTACCTAATTAGTATCTCCACGTTGATTACCGCGTCTCAACACACAAACCCCCGACCAATCTACCCGACTTACTCGTCACAATGCGCTTCACAACCCTCCTCCTGTCCAGCCTCTTCGCCGTGCTCGCGGCAGCCGAGCCCACTGCGACAGCCAGCGCCCCGGCCGTCCAGAACAGCGAACAAGCCGCCATCCTAGCCTGCCTCAATGCCTGCAAGGCCGGCGACGTCGCCTGCACATCCAAGTGCATCGCCGTGCCCAACCCGGACGCGTCGCAGGTAATTAAAGCCCCCCCCACCAACACACACATATCGCACGAACCTAACCTAACCTACCCGCAACAGGTAAACTCAACAAACACCTGCGTAGCAGCCTGCAACCAGGGCTCCGGCACCGCCACCGACAACCTCAACTACGCCAACTGCGTCGAGGGCTGCATCGGCAAGTACTACTTCACCGACTCGGGCACGCCGGCCCCGGCCACCGCCGTCGCCGCCGGCGGCAACAGCAACGTGGGCAGCGCCACCGTCTCGCCTACGGCCTCGGCTTCGGGATCGGGCACGGCCTCGGGCTCAAGTGTTAACAAGCCTGCGCAGACGCAGGGCGACGCGGCGACCCACACCAGCAGCGGGGTCGCGACGGCCACGTCCAATGCTGCTGTGGCCGGGAGCGGCGGCGGCGGTCGGTCGGCTGTTGCGGGACTGGTTGTCGGGGGCTTGGCTGCTTTGCTTGCTCTCTGATTGAGGGAGGATCAGGGGAAAGGAACGAGAAGAAGAAGAAGAAGAAGAAAATAGGGGTTGGGTTGGTGAGACGGTGCCTTGATGTAAAGGGGGAAAGGGGGTTTAGGGTCAAGCTGGTTTGGTGATTGGGTGGTGGTGGGATAACATTCTGTGGGAAAACATAACGGGATTGGGTTGGAGTTTTTTCTTCAGTTGAGAAGGGCGTGGATGATGCCGGGGGTGTCATCGTGTAATTGCATTATATTTATCAAGACCGTGCAGACTT